CTTCTTGAATATCTTTTTCAAATCTTCTGTCGTCGTCATGTTGTAGCGTAAAAGACAATACGATTTTTTCCTAATTAGTTTTCCAACATTGTCGTTCTATCCTGTCCGTTTTAACAAATTTATCATAGCAACACATTTTGTATTATTACAAAGTAATTGTTATATATTATACCGATATTTATATATATATATATATATATATGTGTGTGTGTGTGTGTGTGTGTGTGTGTGTGTGTGTGTGTGTGTGTGTGTGTGTGTGTGTGTGTGTATTTATATCTTTTTTATCAGTTGCACCAGTAATTATTACATATTCATTATATTCATTATATTCATTATATACTTTATATATCATGCTACATATATATCTTAAACATTATACTATATATATCTTATTAGTAATTATTACATATTCATTATATTCATTATATTCATTATATACTTTATATATCATGCTACATATATATCTTAAACATTATACTATATTATGCTGATCACCTTGAAGCTTCAAGGAGATATTAACTTTTTTAGCGCATTATCAGAATGATAATGTAAAATCCAGTGTTGTGAAAAGAGAATATGTAGTCAAAACAAAATATTTTCTAAATAACTCTATTAATTTTTGTCTTGTTTACCAAACGTAAAAAAGATGAAAATATCTTTCTTAAACTGGAATTTTTAGTACCGGAAATCAAATTCGCATATTAAAAAATTTAATATTTACGTGTTAATTTGTTTCTTTAGTTCGAATTTTGTTATTTAAGCTATTTAATAGAAAACCGCTTTCAAATTTTGAAAAGTCTATTTGTCATTAAACCTCCTTAATAAAAAAATATACAGACGTAATATATAGGTGTTATCAAAGAGAAAAACATAAATATATCAAAATTTATTATTAGTTTGTTGCTGTAACGCAAAAGAATTTTAAAAATTAAAAATTGTTTGCAAAATAATGTTGTGCGCATGTGGTGTATCATATAATTACATCATAAAATCACAAGGCCAATAAAAAAACATTTCTTTAACACATTTTTGCTTTAAAATTGTTTAATTATAAATGCAATTTATAAAAGTGTAAATTAACAATAATGTTGCTTAAACATAAAACGTGGAAAATATGATTATATTATTACATTTCAACGCAAATTGATATATTCTGAAGAAAAATTTATTGTTCGGGAGAATTTGAATACTAAAATATTCTGTAAATTTTGTAGACTATAAATTTTTGAAATATGATACAATTCAAAAACAAATATTTACAAAAAATAAAATGTTGATCATTTATCTTTATAATTTTAAAGATTTTAAAGAATTTTAAAGATATATAGATATGTATAAATATAAAATAAAAAAGATTTTTACAATAGAAAAATTCTTCATTTTTGTAAAAATTTATGTATATTTCTTCAAATACTATTATACTGCTGAATATTTTAATTATTAATTTTTCATTTTTTACTTACATTGAGCAACAATAAAATATAACGATATTTCAACAAATAGACAATAGAGGCTTCCATCGGCGGATTGGGTCTTCGTGTCGAACAATGTTTTACTTTTCTAAATTTCAAGACAATGTTTATCGCGAACTATGTGTCGTTAATTCAACGATTTTGCAACATAGTTTACTCAAAGCTAAATCTAAATTTTACCCTTTCCCTATTAAATCGATAATCAAATTTGAAATCGATTAATCGATTATTAAAAATTATTTTTATTGCGAAAAATATTACCCCAGCCAGAGATCGCTCGCTTAACGCGCGAGTGTCTTATTCATTCGACCACTGAGACATGTGATAATATTTATCGCAATAACCGGATAAATAATTTTGAAAGAACGCTTAAGTGCCGCATGAAGAATAACAATAATGATAATTACAGCCGATATATGTTCAACAAATAGACAATAGAGGCTTCCATCGACAGATTGGGTTTTCGTATCGTATTTTCACTTTCAATTTTTAAATTTCGTGATAAGCATTGTCTTGATGAACATATATCGGCTGTAATAACTTCGTATAGCATACATTATACGAA